CAACCTGATAAAGTAAAAACCTTTTCAGGGAAAATACGCTCCTTCACAAAGCTACTGCATATTAGCAACGTACGGAGCTTTCTAGTAGAGCTTATTATTTGGTTCGTGTCTTAAAGAAAAAACTCTGAATTTTATTATTTTATATCTCTAAAATACTACCTCAGAAAGTATATAAGTTTTGAACTAGTTTTAATTAAACTTAAGCATGTTGTCGATGGTTTGGATCGATTAAATATAGTTTGCTGACAACCACAAATTGTGTTTATATAATTATCTTTTCTTTAACCATAATGATTTACCTTCAATAAAGCTATATTCCAATGAATCTGTAATAAATGTTAAAATATTGTTATCTGCTAATAACGATAGACACTAAATGCAAATTGTTCTGTTAATGTTATACATAATATACTTGCATCATCCATAGCTAAAACAACAGGTATACCAGATGTGACATACAATGGAAATAGATGTTCATTATTTATTACATCTAATATTTGTTTATTTGATGTCAAACATATCTCAACGGCCACATATTGCTTTATCTTTATTATTGTCTGTAATGTATTTTCTTTAGTGGCTATATCAACACCATGTTCAATACGTTGTGCTCGATCTAATCCACTACCTATTTGACTGTGTCGCTGGCCACACTAATTCGCAAGTATGATAGGAATGATGTACTTGAGGACAACGTCTTGTTAAATATTCGAATGCAAACATTATTATTCAAACGCTATAGGTGACTGATAATTTGTTGACAATTTTGTTTTTCAATTAATAATGATGCAACATAACAGTTTATACAGCAGATTAAAGTCATTCATTTAGTTTTTTTTAAATCCGTTCTCTGAATGTCTCTGATAGATGTGGAAAAACAAGACTTTTGATAATTGTCACAAAGACAATATAAATTTTTCTAGTAAGCTTCAGATTGATAAAAGAGATTTTTCCTTGCCGAACAAAAAACATACAACAACTGCAACCTCTCACATGTACTCCTAAATTGTGATTCAATCAAGTGACAGACTATTGATCTTAAAGTTAAAGTCCAGTAGTTAAGAGATATTCCCTGTAGGTGGATGAGTGTTTTGTTAAGATAACCGCCAATGTATTTATGGAAGATGAGATCCTAAGATTTCGATTTTTGATATCTGTTCGTTGAGAGTTGTGTGTATAGCTTCAAAATCTTATAAAACTTCAACGACCGTGAATGCATTATACTGCGAATACCCATAACACTAAAGAACAGTGCTTTAGAGGTACATGCATTTCGCACTCTTGTGCGTTTCTTTTGTAAGATGGTCACTCTATGATAAGTGAAACAACAAAAAAATGTTGTCTATGCTTTTGTTACAGATCTTTGAAAAAAAGGTAGCTGAATACAGGAACAAGAAAGAAATCAAAAATCCAGAGACGGCCATTTCTTCTAGACAATCAAATTAGATTAGATTTAGCTAAGTTTTATTATAATGACGGATATAAAGGGTGATCCAGAAGTCCTGAAGCCACTTTTCTATCAAATTTTTATCTATATTGACTTGTGTTTAAACGTTTAATATTTAGCTTAAACAATAGAGTATTTAATTCTCTAGGAAACTGTCGATTTTATTTTAAAATTAATTTTGAATCATCACTGTGGAAATAAAAATACTAAAATGTTATGTTATGAAAATTGATCCTCTATCTAATCGAAGTTCTTCTTAGCGTATTTGACTAAAAGAGATTTATTAATTAAAACATAATACACCATTAAATTCAGCCCGAAATTCTATGCAAAGTCCCATACTTCATGTGGCAAAGCAAAATCGTTCTAAATCAAGGTGGCTCTCATGAAAGTTTCAAAAGAGTTTAGGTGGATTCATCTTTAGTAGCATCCAATATTATTCTATACTTTAAAATTAAATTTTTATTTTCTGCTGTATGTGATCTTATAACGTGAGAAATTCTGCATCTTTCGATATAAAATGCATGACTTTAAATTTTGAGTTTGAGGGCAAAATGCCGATAATATGGATTTTCTACGTAAGTCAGTCAATTTAGGACTTTTCTTCCCTCAAAAAACAATAAACATTTAACACAAATAGTGTCAGATTGTACAAAATAAAATTCTGCATCTTTTGACGTTAAAATAATTAAATATAAGTTGAACTGAGAAATCGGCAACGCTTCGCTAAAGAAGTTAAGTTTATTCCTTGCCATTTTAGAAAATTAGAATATTTTAATATCGTGAATATTCTGCTGAAATTTCGAAAATAATTTTAAAGTAAAATCGACAGTTTCCTAGAGAATTAAATTCTCTATCTATTAAGCTAAATATTAAATTATCTGCACGTATCTCACACTTTATCGTATACCGCGTGTACCAATGAATAATTCTAGATCCACCAATGGGTGTGGAATAGATGATTCAAACAATGGAAAGAGTTAAAATGCCATTAACAAGCAGACCTGGTGTCATTTGTCAAGAACGTAGTTATTCAATCGACTGAAGATCTGAATCAATCAACAATAAACAGTTTTAGATTGGTTATGGACTTGGAGAAGTATAAAATACTGCTGCATTATTTCTGCAAACGTTTTTCTTTTATTCCATCTAATTCTGTTTGACTCAATCTTGTTTGATATCGAAATATGCTATTAATACATTTTTTCGCTAACTGTAAACATAATTTGAAATGTATTTTAGTTCAAAATTCACATTAATTTTAAAGCAATTTATTGACTTTATTTATTTATTTTATATTTCGATGTCTACGAGAAAAAAATATTTACAATCTAACATCAAACATGTTTGATATCATTTAGGATTGATCTAGAATGTGTTTCACTCAAGTAGGATTGATATCAGACATGTTTGACGCTACACTTCAAACCCTAGATTGAGATTGGTGTATGCCTAATTGTGTCGACATTACCGAAAAAGTTCAGATTAAATTATTAAATTTATGGGTAATTCTTTCAAAAATCTATCGGACTCTACATCGACTTTATACAGGACTTTATACAAATACAGGAGACTACTGAATATGAATGAATATAGATATGTATCCCGGACATATATTTCAGAAATAAGAAGAATGGTATTACGACTATATTTATTTTAGTTTTCTTAGGAAACGGTCCAGTCATGACATCTCTGTACATATCGATGTCAGTGAATTGTATGTAACGGAGTGTCTGTCATGTTTAATCAAATTTAATTAACTTGCAATTTCAATATAATTTAACAATAATTAATAGTAATTTCAACAGCATCACTTAAAACTGCTTCGTTCTCGAGGTATAGTGG